ATAGGATGTCGAAATCTTTATTTAAATCCTGAAATGTGTATTCTTTACATCATGATTCATTACAAGACACAGTTTATGTAGGATATGTGGTAATAGTCGACGTTCACAATTGGCAAAGTTTATGTCATATCAGAAGAATCATAGCATGGATCGTTTGTCGGATCATGTTCGTAAATATCCTTGGAGAGAAGAACATAAAACTCCATGAAATTAAGACAAAAGTTTGTTTTAAATTTAAAAAAGTGAACAAAGTAACCTAGTTCCCGATTTGTTTTAGTAACGACAGTCACCTTTGTTACCCTGGGTAATTTTAAATGATCTGAATAATTGTAAACGTCTAAGTCCGATTGCCTTGACACGAATTTTAATCCAATAATACCAAATATATATAAAGATATGAATGACTCTTTGTCAGAAATTAATAATAGAAATAAAAACCAACAACTAGGGCAAACTCCGGATCACTGTCAGTAAAATAATGCATATTGCCTACTGATATAAATCAATCGGAGTATTATCCATAACAAAGATGGAGATGATATATAGGAAATAAAAAAAAAAATAAAAATAAGATCTGAATACTTCAGACAAAATTACCCGTTTTAATGGTTTAATAAATAATTAATTTAACATATGACTTACTCATTGATTGTTTTCAAAAGATATTGTCCACCAGCAGTCTGGTCAGAATAATGAATGACGGCCCGCAACCAAACGTATTGCTTTCGAAGCGCCAATCATTTGTCTTTAGTCAGAACGTAGAACATAAAATCTATTTTTTCTGTTATAAGTTATTAAAAAGTTTGATTCATTTGTATTACATAAATTACAAATATACATATATTTGTCAAACTGAAAATAAAATTCATTAGAAAATCAGTTACAATGTGCAATGGTTCTATTTTTGACAGCTGATTTAGAACAAGACTTGTATGCCTTAAACATATGTTTGACCGTGGCGAAAGTTCAGTGTAAGTGCCTAGACAAACTATAAACTTCATCAGAATGCAAGTAACTAGTAAGTAATTTTTTTAAATGATTTGATATATTGTTTCAGAATCGATTATTATTTTTTAACTTAGTTCCCTAGGGACCGGGTTTTTAGACTGATTTACTGGAGACAACATTACTACCTGTAACATTTCCCGATTAGTTTTGTCTTTTGACAAAGCCTTCCCTAGCGGTATAAATATGTTATATATTTTGATAAATTTCTTAATAAAAAAAAGATTCTTTTAACTGAGAAAATCTTTTGTATAAAAACTTTATCAAGAACCGATTAAGAAACGTTTTTCTCATGCAAAAGGGTCAATTAATTAATGTACCCAAATAAATTGTTTCTCCTTATATTAAAGATACGTAGGTGTTGTATGAATTCAAACGAGACAACTATCTACCAGAGGTCAAGGAAGAAGAAGTGGACAATAAAAAACAATAGGTCGAAGAAATATCATGACCAATAGAAAAAAGACAACAGTCTACACAGACAATCAAAGATTGAGCAACACGAAAACAAACAAAATCCGGAAGTGAACTCGGGTGGTCCGGAAGGGGTGAGCAGATTCTGTATCACTAGATTTCACTGTGAAGAACAATGTCTTATGTTCTATCAAGTAAGGTAAGGTCTTTTATTTTCATGTGTTTGATTGGTTGTTGACTTTTTTTGTCATTTCATCTTCTTCTTGTTCTGATTGTAGAGATATAAAAATAAGTTTCTTATGATTACCGATAAGTGATGTCTTTATCCATTTATATTTGATAGAAACATAATTATTTGTTTTAGTTTAAGGTTTTACAAAAAATAACCTTTTAGATAAAAATGAAAATAAACTTGATGTCAAATTACTTTATCAATACATTTTTGTTTTTGTGACCCATTTAAACAATGCAGTGTTTGTATATAAATAAACACCTTTGGACTATATAATTTGTGACACATTTCGAACATGCAATGTTTGTAAATAAATAAACTCTTTTGGACTATATAATTTGGGACACATTTCGATCATGGAATATTTGTAAATAAACAAACAGTTTTGGACTTTGATTTGTTTATAACACATGACGCTGATGACAATGTTAGATTGTTAGATATAAAACTTATCAAAATTTAAAATTTTCATCATTTAAAACAATTAATATATAAATAACTGTTACAATTTCCATTAAGCACGTTATTGGTTTATTGAAATAGCATACCGAACATGTAACTTACACTTAATATAGAAATTGTTAATTGTCCTTAGATTTGAAATTGCTTCTAAAACACGACAGGAAGTTACAGACAGTCCACAGACTCTACGGTGGATGGCAACTGATGAATTCACAAGACATTACTATCAGAATGAGGTGTCAGGATATTCATTTTACTCTACTTGAGCAACTATGATATGTGACAAATTAATATATATAGCTGTACAGATTATATTTAAATCAAATCAATATAAGCTTTCGATTTGACTATATATGGCGTTATTAAACTTTTTAGTCAAAATTGAATCAAAAACGAGATTGAAGAGAATTGAAAACCAAAATTTCCCGAAAGGTGTTCCCCATCTGGATACGGTCATCTATGCCTGGGGAAAGCAAAATCTAGATGTTTCGAATAATTCAACATTTTATAAACAGTGATTTTAAAACAAATGACCGTATCAATGATATTTCGCCTTTATTTTAAAGAGTTTAAACAATTAAGCAGACTATGATATTAAAACATATTTATCTAAAATGGCGTGTTATAGCTACATTTAAATGGAAATGGGGCTTTAGAAAAGGATACTACATATACAGAAGTCTGCCTTATATCTTAACTTACATCTAGAAATTGGCAATGAAAGACAAAAGAAGTGATTGCTGCCTTCCAATTGTGAACTTTTCATTTCTATGTTGCATATTTTATGTTTCCGTTGATACGACATTCCAGGTCTTGCGTTTCCTATCATGATTTCCTTCCAAGAAGGTTGCTGTCTATGGAGAAGATTTTGAAAACATTATTCCTAGTGGAAAAGTTAAATTCGTCCCTTCTGAAGTTTTACGGGTGCTATCGTGCATGGGTTGACGGCCATGGAATATCTGCGTCACAGATTCTAACAGATACGTTCCAATTGTAGAAACCATTTTCCTGTCCTCCTTTTCTAGATGGCGACACGACCGAATGAGACATTGAGTCAATAATAAATTTAAAAAAAAACCATGTATCTAAGACTAAAACACTAATCAGTACATATACAACATCCAATGGATTTAGTGTAAAGACGTCTTCAACAGTCAGAAGAAAACATGATTTGTACAATGCTAATTAGATAACCTATTTATAATTATAACCTTATTTGATCAAACAATGATTGTTTAGGTCATTTCATATCATTTGGGTTTCAAACCATCGTTCAAAAAATATCGTAGAAAGATTTTGATTGCACATTTTTTTCTAAATTGAATGGTCCTTATAGTAATAGATATCTGTCTTAGTTTGATTATTCCTCTCGTGTTGCCAACATTTACCAACAAAATCAGTGACGATTTAGTTCTCATTATTATCATGTATATATGTCATAGTTATAGTTTTATTTGCCTGTCTAGTTCATTTACGCGAGTCTTTCCATTCCTATAAGTTTACCGTATGTCTGCTTTACATATAAAACTGTATATTCTATAGTTTATTCGGAGTTGATGTATTCTATCAATAGTATGTTTGAGGATCATGTACTCCATGTTTAAAATGAAGGTAAAAACTAACCAAACCAAAAGCGACCTAGGATATCAAACCATAATAATCAAAATAGAAAAAATAAAGAGACAATGACAAAGCAGAGAACTAAAACGTTTAAGTATAATCCTGTATATCTTTTTCTATTTTTTGGAAACAAAAATGTAAATCATAAGTAGTTCTAAGTATTTATCTGGTTATTCCGAAAATTATAAATACATCCATGTGTCATATCAACAGAAATAAAAATAGATGTATGTTAAATAAGATTTAAACTACTTTACTATTAATAGTTCTTTTCAAAATTTAATACTTTATACTGAAAATTCGCATTGTGTCATTGCATGAATGGCGGCACTTATATGTGTTTTAGTCTGAAATCTGGTTTAAATATATCCTTAGAAGGCCCCTTTGACTCGCGCTTGTTATTGCTGTTAGTTGTATGCGATATATATTATATTTTTTCTTAACAAAAGTTAGTTATGATTAGTTTCCTAGTGTTGTGACTAATCTTATAAGGAAAATAGTATCATTTCATTTTGCTGGCAGTAGATTTCCCTTTTGTCTACTTAACTCAGGTTGTCAACGTATATCTGTACCTATATATATTACAGGATTATACTTAAGCTTTACGTTAGTGTATATGTTTTATTGTGTATGATAAACTGCAGTTTGCATATATTTACAATATAAATATTTTTTTGAGCATTCTCGAAAAGGCGTTATGTTATTTTTTTTTCGTAAATTTGATGTACGGGGTTAGAGAATCCGAATTTCCTAGTAATACATTCGATATAATATAGATAACCTAGTTATTATTATTTTTACTCTGTTTGTTTAGATTTATTGTTATTTATTAATTTAAATCCAGTATATCACATTTTTATTATTATTATGTTTTTCCATTTCCAATCGATTAAGCGTAAGGGTAATACTAGTTCCTTGAACGAACGAACAATATATAAACGAACAAATAATACACGCCAGATTTTTTTTATCATTCGTTTGAAGGAAATTCCCTTCAATTGCGGATTATGTTCATTTTCGAATCATGTGCACACATGGAAACGAATGATAGCTCAACACATCTATTGCCAACTGTTGAATGTTATCAAAAAGTTTGAATACATGTACCACGTATAACTGTCTGTTTAGTTGAACATTTAGCAAGTTTAATATTAATATTAAAATAAAGGATTCCTACAATCTACACGTGTTACAAATTTTTAGATGAATTTTTGGCCTCTTCACTATAATGTTAATGTATGATAAATTTAAATCGGTGGAATATCCATATTAATAGCTATTTTTAGATGTATGTCATATACCATTCATCCGGCAAAATTTGAAATAGGACAAATGTAATACTGTTAGAAAGAAAAGGATCTGTAAGTAAATTATTTAATCATATTATCATTATACTTTATCATATATCATAATAATAATAATAATAATAATAATAATACAAATTATTATAATAGTAATTAAAACATGTCATAACCACACAAACAATCATTTACTCTTTGTATAGGCTACTGAATATTTCTTTGTTTGAGGATTTTCAGTTGGTCATTATTTCACAGACTTTCATTTTTGATAAAATATCCACCGATGTGTTGTCCAAAGTGATAAGAATAATTTTAGGATAATTATAAATAAATATTTCAGACCGTTTCTTATGACATGTTTGCTGTCGATTCTTTTGATATAGTGGAATACTCATTGTTATCTAGGAACCAAGGTTTACTTTTTAATGTGACGGTTCTCTTCTTAATGTTTGTTTAATGACCAACCGTACAGTGTGTTACTTCAATACGATGATTTACTCATTATTTTTCTTTTGGAGGGACTAACATAATACACGTATAAAATCATATTAACCTGTACATATATAGCGTTATTATTCATTCTATTATCAACAGAACAATTAAATATATAAAAAACAATTACTTAGTAATCCGGTTGAATGATTTTATTTCTACCACAATGAAGTTTTTATGAAACAAAGCATTTATTTTTCTGTTAAGTAAAGAATTAAAATTAAGACTAAACACTTTGTCATGCATAATGGAAATAGTTGCACGATTATTTGGATTTATTTATAACCTTTCAATTTAAATACAAATTGTATAACATATTTGTTGCATGCATGAAAGGCAATATAAATATAGATTCTACCACTGCATCGAGTGTGATACGATATTTATCCACTCGAGACAGTTAAATTTTCAAATTTAAAACGCGAGGCTCGCCGAGCGTTTTAAATATTTAAAATTTAACTGTCGAGAGTGGATAAATATTGTATTACACGAGATTTGGTGGTGGAATCTGTTTCTCTAATGATTTTTAAACAATACGCAGGCAAATTTATTCCTTCTTTTCGAATGATCTGCAAAAAAATGTGTTCTTTCTATGTGACGTCATCAGGCATGGTCGCCTTTTTTCATGCCGTCACAATAGGAAATTTAGAGGAAAGCAAGAAAATTCGACGTCATAATCGGATTTGAACCAATGAAGAACTGAGATCAAACGAACCACACGTTGATTAAATTTTTTTTATACAATAGGTGCAGAAAGGGATAAATTGACGAAGAATTAGAGAAATAAAAAATATAGAATTAAAAAACAAAGATTTTCCTTTGTTAATCAATATACTCCTCTGTAAAATATTTCCTATGTGTTGTTCTCATATCTAAAAATAATGCTATAACTCTATTTTTATTCATCACAGGAAGAAGGAAAAGGAAAAAGTCGGTCTTCTATTCTATTCTATTCGTTTTTGAATCATTTGATTAAATTCTTCCCTGTATAAAGTCCTGTGGATTCATTATGTCCTCACGTGAAGAATATTGCTCTAATCAATATTCAGAGAATATCAGTTCTGCTTATTGTACAGTTGTAAATTGTAAAACAAATATGGATACAAAAGAATATGCTGAAGACAAGCTTTTACCATTACCGTTCTCAACCAAAGATCATCATAAAACCGTCCTATCCTATCACAAACTGAAGATAAGTTTTATGTGTATGTTGGTACTGAATGCCTTACTGTTAGTGGTTGTGATAATCTGCATGCTGATGATTGTACCACACATCTCAACAATGGACAATAATACACCGCCACAGAGTCCAGATAAGTTCCAGGATAAGGATCACATGACATGTTTATCAATCAAGAATAAACTAACCAGACTCTACAGAAACGGTCAAATGGTAGAGAATGTGAAAGATGGCGATATATGTTCTATGGAAGATCTCATGGACTCTTTCATCCAAGTAAGTATGTCAGTAATTGTAAAAATGCGTAATGCAAAAACGTACGAAGGCATGAACTTGTATAAAAATCCTATGGCAGATCTACGCGACTCCTTCATGCAAGTAAGTAAGCTATTAATTGTATAAATGTCCTATGTAATTTCAACTAGTATACTTTACAACAAGTGTTCAGGTGCTAACATCTACATCATTTGGTCTCTGGTGGACTGTTGTCTTATTGGCAATCATACCTCATTTTTTTTAATTTTTTATATCAATGGAAGATCTACTATATTCTTTTATACAGAGTTAATGAGTCAATAATTGGTTAACACAATGATAAGAATAAAATTCGTAAAATAACTTATATAAGGTTTCCATGTTCTATATATCATATAAAACATAGAAGGAAAATGTTCATACATCTTTAATAGTTCGCCATTGTAGTTCTTGGGTAGTATTTCTCATCTTTAGTTTTCTTGTAGTGTGTTTTGGGCTGTTCGTTCCTTTTTGTCTGTTCGTTCAGCCATGTTGTTGTCCTACAATTTTTGGTTGCTCTTCGTCCTGGTATCTTCTAACCTTTATTACAGACACAGAGATTATCGTATTACAATAATTTACCATAAATCTAGCGATACTTTTATTGCTTTTTTAGCATGTTGAAGATGCAATGCAAAAGGAAAAATCAAACGGTAAGTTCAATATCAGAACATTATCAAATGAAAGTTATCGTAAATCAAATTATGTTGCATGGCTTTACCACGATCAGAACTAAAACCACACAATACACTTAAAAAGGGTCATTAGGGTGAAGGGTATAATAAATACATTGTATGTAAGCACTGGATGATCTGAAAACATACCATCACATCCATACTAATAATGTAAAACAGACTAGGGGATCAATTCAACAACTGATACATGAAATAAGAGGATCATTTTATTGGTTGTAAAAAACATATTTTACCTGGTCTACATTAAAGAAAGTCTTTAAGAGAGTACAAAGAAAAACCTAAAATCAAATAAAGAAGACGAGACTGCAATACATATTGTATACAATTATAAACTCAAAAACAACTTGTTTTTCTATATTTAAATTTACAAATTGTTTTATATGTTACAGTTTCTGCTGCATTCCATTTAGTGACAAATAACACATATACTGACAGATGCCAAGACAGCAGTAAGTGTTTTGTAATTGATTTCTGTAATTTGATCACATGATAATGTACATCATATATTTCCAAAAACCATAAAGTTGTTGGCATCATAGAATACAATCATATAAAAATAAGGAGATGTAGTATGATTGCCAATGAGACAACTTTACACCATAGACCAATTAAAATGTTAGCAATTAATTATAGGTCTAAGTAAGTATACTTAATTAAAACAACCATTCATGTCTGTATTGACATATTCATGAAATAGCAAATTTCAGCTTGTATTTGTAAGATTTTGTAAACCTTTTTAACGTCATCTCGGTATGAGTTTATGTATGGTATTTTTACGTTTTACAGAAACGTTACATTGCTTGAAGAATTGGAATATATCGATGAACACAACAAAAATCTCAGTGAAAGATGAAAGTATTGTAGTACCTTCCGCTGGAGCGTATTTCTTGTACAGTCGTGTTGTCATTAATGCCAAAGTTAACAGTCATCTGAATGAGATGGAAACAATCACCCATTCAATCCGATATAGTAACACAGGACACCATTTCTCGGACTTAGAAACAAGTATGGTTAAATGTGGTGTCATTAAAAATACAATGAGCCATATCAGTTACATTGAGAAGATACAGTTCCTTGAGAAAGACAGTCAAATTAAAATAGCTCTAGACTTCCCAAAAGACGTTGTAATGCAACCCTCTGTTAATTCGGGTGCTTTTGGAATGTTTAAACTTTGAAACTGTTTAACAGAGAGGTGAATTTTTGATAAAGCCCCTATGATTGCCCCTTGAATTCGAAAAAAAAGTATTATGATACTATAACATCTACCAATTTGATCTCATTTTGAGATTTTGTCCCGCTTCATATTAAGATTTGAGACAAGGCCTTGACCAAAAAGGTATTTTTCTTAAAGATGCATCATAATAATATGCATTCATGAATAAAATATCCTTTTTGGGTAGAGCATTAACTCATATCTAAGTTTGCCAAAAATAATCCTTATCAATTTCGACATATCTATATCGTCATAGTGATATCACAATTGACATGTTTGTTATAATTACAAATTACAGCTTTCCAAAACATTTTTTTAGAAGACATAATGATCGGTAGGAATACTGTGTTTAAATTGTTCGATGATGGTTCTTTGCTTTAAAACGTACAGACGCAAATAGTTCATGCGTGTTCAGAACGAGAACAAACTAATAATGCAAACAATAGATGGGATGTGCATGGTTGGGTTCGACCGAGATGAAAGGCGGGAACTTTGGATTACCACTGGAAAATGAGTGTATGTTCGGTTGGATCAATAATTTTGCCTTTGCAAAAGGATTCTTGTAAACGTCCAGAGGATGGGGCCACATTCTGCACGAAGCATCGGAATTACGTCCACATTCCGACCGGTCGTGTCTGCTTATTTGTATATACATTCCACACAGACAAACTGACACCCCATTTTAGCAAGGGTTTTACTGCTGGAACCGGTCACGTCTAACGGATAAGCATATGTGTATTCCTTATTGAACCTTTTAGGTCCTGTGATAAGAATAATATAACCAAAACTTTATTTTAATCGCTGACTTTCTCACATAAACTTTCTTTTCACGTTTTGTTGAATGTTTGATGAGATAGTTTGAAACAAGTTTGAAGTGACATATATATTTAAAGGTTTTCCAGGCTATTGACACAAAGTGAATACTACAAACGATCACGAAAGTAACAATAAATAATGGCTGTAAATGTATCGTCGCATTCTTCGTTTTTTAATCGCAACAACATGAAAATATTGTGTATCCTAAATTTGCGTAAAGCATAACACTTAGAACATTGTGGTTTTATTTGGGAAAGGAAAAAGGAGGGGTGGGGGGTATTTTTTGTTGTTGCAATCCAGCTGCAGCTATCGAGCATAGGACGGTATGATAATGTCAGCAGGTAAAGTATTTTTGTCTCCATTCGGTTACTGTTAGCATTTTTGGATACAGTATTATTGATAAAGTCGTTTTACTTGTAGCTTATTTTTGTTTGCTTTCTTTGTGCTGTATTAAAGGGTAAACAGTGATTTCTTTTTATGTGAAGGCACTTGTGATATAGTACTTGACACATGTACTAATGTATATTGTATATGAGTAAAAACTTGTTTATTGCTGGCAACAGTTTGTTTACCTCTAGACCTGATGTCGATTGTTTTCAGTCCAATAGGAGTATGTCTCATTGACCCATCATACCCCACATCTCCTGCTTCTGAATATCGAAAATTATATATTTAGCTTTTATACTTCCAGAAATATAGTCAATTAAACATTTGTGAAATAGGTCTATAATTCGATAGAATGTGTGTAAAAGGCGGCGAAAAATATGATTGTTTTTTGGCAACAAACACTTTCGTTTTAAAATCGTTTAAAGTGATGTATGAAAAAAGATATGAAAAAATAAGATTTTGCAGCATGACGCCGTCACGATGTTAGAACGATTATTTTGTCGTTTGGACCTTTATTTACGCTTCATTTCAAGACTTATTAATTTCTACTGAAAAACGGAATACGGCGACCACTCTTATTTTCATATCATTAAAACGGAAATGTAAACAGCAATAACATAACAATCTTCGAGAAAAAGCAATTTAAAGTGAATAAATGTATATTTGTCGCCGTATTTTACACAAATTATGTTCAATGAGCCATTTTATAAGTTTTAGTTGACTGTATTTCTGGAAGTATAAAATATACATAAATTCAGATGCAGTTCAGCGAGTTCTTAATGCATATAATTACATAATATATTTTATACATAAATTATAGATTCATTCACTCAGTGTGCGTTTTGGGTTGAAATTTAAGCCTCTTATATCGAAAAAGGTAATTTCCCTATCAAAGATATTTTTCGTTGAATCGTTATATAAATAGATACTTCCTATTCTGTATTTTTAAACAAGGTCAAAAGATTAACACCTGAAGTAACATTACCCGTTTCTGTTCCAATAATCAGACCATTGGGACATGTAATATAAAAACGAAAATTAAATGACTCACCGGAAAAGATAAATCTATATGTACTCATCATGAGAATTGTGTATTTCTATAGAACCCAATCATAGCGTGTATAGACGTAAAGTAATTTCCAGTTTTTATTTAAAAAAATACGATAAAGATCAAATATATAACATAAAATCAGAATATCATCAAATCGAGACAATCACTCAAATCACAGATACATTTGATGTTCAAGTTTGCAAGTACCAAATGAGATTAATACATTACTAAGTTACTATATCTTGTAACTATATCTTTTGTCATAATTATTAAACTCTACAATTCATGTTTTATATGCTTTTCAATTTGACTATAATCTCTTCATATATGTATTTGCTTGAATTTTTCACACAAAAAAAATAGTAAATGATTAGTTTTAATGAGAATCTCTTGACAGGTCATCACCAAAAACAAAATTGTTAAATTCGTGACCTAGATTGTCAAGAGGTTCTTATTAAAATACTACACTACGGACAGTGGCAGATTCAGGGGGGGGGGCGTAGAGGGGTACGCCCCTTTTGATTAGAAAATATCACAATTTTTACCATAAAATCGTCCAAACAATTCGCCTCTCTACGCTCTGCAGTTTTTCTTCAAGTTTAAGGAATAACACCCCCCTTTCAAAAATCAAAGTACCGACCGCTGACATACAACTGGTACGTCATTTAGTACATATCTATTACTGTAAAATTCTTCTAATATACTTAGCCTACATCAGAACTATATTATCGAAGTTCATTTTCAATACGGTTTAGTTTATTTTAAAGTTACAGTACTAAAAAAGTAGCTGTATACTTGTTCACTTACAGGCAACTTTATGTGGAAAATTAAATCTGTGTAAGCATATGAGTTTTCCCTGAGTAGGAAGATTAATATAAAGCTCCAGGGTTCACTTTCTCCTTTTTTCTCAAAATCCAGTATGAAAATAAGTTTTCTTAAGAGACTCTTACATATGCATGAAAATGTATATGCAAGTACATTATTCAGTGCAAATTAATTCAAAGATGTGTCTTTAATTTGTTTACCCAATTACATGTGTGTATATATATTATATATGAATCTGTTATGTCATACATGTTTCTGTCGCATATCCAAATTGTACCGACTGACATGTAACCTTGTGTGAGTGCTTTACATTAGTTTGAACTACCTGTAACAGCAGCTATCTAGGAAGAAAACAAAGAGAAAACACACTGATTACCTGAAGATTATGACTCAGAAAGACATTGTGGTTTGAGGTGAAGACTGTAATATCCGGTGTGGTCTGTGGTGAGGACAGTACGATTTACATGTACTTTAATCACCGAACAGTTTATAATGCCATCATATAAAGTATTATGATACGCCATTTTTATTATTTTAAATCAAATATTTTTTACTGTATAACATGTATATAGGGTAAATAATAATCAAATATTTTTGTAGATTTTATTTCTTTGTAAAATAAAAATTCAATATTTGCCGACGTGTAAATTTTCTTTCTTTAACAAATTTACCTTAAAAGTAGAGTAACAACAATATCATTGCGTCATAAAAAAAAGCATGGATTTAAATTTGAAGTTTTTTGACAATTTTATACGCTTTCTATACAAATGTTTACCTATTTTGAAAGAATGCAAGGGGACATAAGTGATATTTTAGAAAATAAAAGATATCAATACATTATTTTTCAGTTATAGTTCAAAGAACCAAAGTTGTATGCACATTTTTACCAAAATCTGTGACATACCCTATTTAATGTACCTATTTGTGAGCAAATTACTTTGACGTCATCAATGAGTTTCATTAATTGACCCCAAAAATGACCATTTAGACACAGTTTTTGGAGTTATAAAATATTAGCAATAGCCCTCGCAGAAATATTTTATATCTAATATTTTTAGACAAGGTCATTGCTATTTTTTTTACTTAAAGCACAAATAAGAAGGTTCTCAAATTGGACAGCACTTTCGTTATGTCTGAAAGCCTATCGTGTAGTATTATTAATAGCATGGATCCGAAGTAATTTTAGGGCCTTAATTTTAGAAAGAAAATGAATACCTACGATAAGTGGAACATAATCGGCTATTACAATAATTCTATACAATGATATCTTATATTTAACTACTTTTTGAAACATTCACACTGTCACAAACCATTAAAGCACTACAAGGTGTTATGTTTTTATAAACGATTAAAATATGGTACTGTGTCAGAATTGCTGCCAAGAAACTGTATGTGTAATCAGAAAATGAGGTTATGTTGATATGAAGTGCAATGTCTTGTGATTTCTCGGTCGTTATTCTGTGGTTTAGTTAGGCTTTTCTTTGTCTTCCTATTATAATACTTTCATATATTGTGATTTCATTCCGTCACATCGAATTTGATATAAGAGATGTTTTAGCAAAATGTCTCGCATCATTGCTAACCTTATTACACACATATTAGAAGTCGGAATAATAAACTAAAACTGACATTTAGAATACAGATTAAAGGACAAGGATTAAGTCATTAGAACAGTGCATTAAAAATGTAAGTAAACTAATAATGAAATCATATAATATTATAATAATAACGATAAATGCTAGTAGTCTGTTGTTATTTATGTATTATTGTCATTTTGTTTATTTTCTTTGGTTACATCTTCTGACATCAGACTCGGACGACTTCTCTTGAACTGAATTTTAATGTGCGTATTGTTATGCGTTTACTTTTCTACATTGGCTAGAGGTATAGGGGGAGGGTTGAGATCTCATAAACATGTTTAACCCCGCCGCATTTTTGCGCCTGTCCCAAGTCAGGAGCCTCTAGCCTTTGTCAGTCTTGTATTATTTTTAATTTTAGTTTCTTGTGTACAATTTGGAGTTTAGTATGGCGTTCATTATCACTGAACTAGTATATATATTTGTTTAGGGGCCAGCTGAAGGACGCCTCCGGGTGCGGGAATTTCTCGCTGCATTGAAGACCTGTTGGTGACCTTCTGCTGTTGTCTGTTCTATGGTCGGGTTGTTGTCTCTTTGACACATTCCCCATTTCCATTCTCAATTTTATGTGGCTTTGCCGTACTAAGTTACCCAGGTGTACTAAAGCTAATTCGACTTATGTGTTAATATAAAAAAAAAGTGTGATGCATCTTATTGTATTCAACCTGTCACTTGAGTTATAAAATTTGTCATACATGTAGTTGATATGGAAAATTATAAACATCGGGAATTTCCACGTGCATAAATGAAGGTTTCATACACACACAAGTCCACTGTTTAAATAAAGTAAGTAAAAACATTTGAAGTAGAAAGAATATTAGATCAATATTAAATGTTTCTTTGTTTGTCATAAGAATTGTTTAATGCTAAAAGCAAGTTTTTTTGTAGACCACCAATAAATACACCATGCATTGTGGAAACATTACTTTCGTTTCATGTTATTAGTTTCAATCAGACCGTTAGTTTTCTCTTTTGTATTGTTTCTCTTTTTTTTTTTTTTTTTTTGATCCAGTGCCGTTTAAAGCTTACTATACGATACGGATTTTAGACATTGTTGAACCCATACAGTGACCTTTAGTTGCTTAAAATCATCTTTGTCCTTTAGGTTTTTTTTTCGCGGAAAGTTGTCTCATTGGCTATCATTCCACATCGTCTTGTGTTTATATTAATACTTTGAAAATTTTTACATATGCACCTATTGGTCATCGTTATTTTAGAAATATTCATTCAACCTTAAAACATTAATATATAAAATTATTAAATACAGTGTAATTAAAGAACATATCAGTACGCATGGCAGTAAGTGTTCTAATGCTGTTGTATGTGTGTACAATTAAATAATTTCCATAATTTGGATTATACACGAACGAATAATGCAAAAAGAATTCATAATTGTTATAAAAGATATGTAATTTTGTTTTGGATGCATAGAGTATTGGGTTGTTGTGTCGTTTGTGTTTACCCCACATCTATAATTCATATTATGATATATTATCACCATATAACAACTTATTTTTATTATATGACTATAAATTTTCTTTTTTCTCATTGGCTGAAAACATAGGAAATCTTCTTTGATAAAACATTATATTCACCGCGGCAAAAATCACGAGAGGTTAATGAGGTATAGATTTATGACGTCAGGTAATTCCCGTTTTTTTTTCTTCTTGTTTTCGTTGGGTTTTTTTTCTCTTCTTCTTTGTTCTTGTTTTCGGTGTTTTTTTTTTTAGTAAACTTTTAAATTATTGAATACTTCAACTTATGAAAAAGCACACGATTTATTTAGTATATGAGCAGATACTATAAAATTGGAGAAGGATAAAAAAAGCATATGATAAAACAATTGTTGACTTTTGATTTCAGTTGATACAATGATTTATCAACCACAGAGATATGACAGTCACCCTCGGCCATTGGCCTCTGTGAATATCATATCTCTGGGGTTGATAAATCATTGTATCATCAAAAGTCAATAATTATATACTATATGTTTTGATAAGTTCGGTTTCAAACGACCCCCTCCCCCCTTTTTTTTTATAAACACAATCAACAAAGAATTAAACGTAGATTTGCTTCTATGAAAGGTATCATTAACCTTTTCCCTATGTCAAATTGTTAGTTGAGTCGCGATACCGTAAAAACAAAACTGAATAAGGGGCATTTCTTGGCGCATTAACTATTTTTAAACTGTGTATTCTAATTAATACATATTGTATTATACAACGAAAAAGGAGGAGGAACAGCTTGACCCTATCTTTTTTCACTCAAGTGGTCAAAATCACGAAAAAAATACATAAAATGAAAATGATTTCAGTGCTATACTTCGCAGTTAAAATACTTTAGTGATAAATTTTCCAAATTATTTTTGGGTAAAATTTTGAACAGAAGGACATCCTTAACCAAAACGAATTAGTATCTTGTACAAGAAACATGCCTTTACTACATATATAGTTAAGAATGTCATTTATGTCAGATAGATTAATATTCACATTTTGACAAAATCTTTCAAAATTGCAGTACTGAGGCATTTTTAGACCGTTAAGATTAGAATGCATGTTAATTAATTCGACATAATGTAGTTACTGTTACTGTAAGAGTGCATTGGAATTGCGATACTGTAAATTTTAGTGAACTGTTTGAAAGAAGCCCTTGTGTGAAATTACTTAAGGAGAAATTGACCCTACAACTTAGTTTCATTTACGTATCTATTAACTCGGAGATATTTGTAGACATCATAATTAAAGTTTTGGCTTGATTCTCAAAAGAAATTACGTTCAAGGGAACATAATTTGTATTATATATTATATTGCGAGACGTATATCAAGCAAAGATAGATTACATTACCTGGTGATTGAAATGAAATTTAACTATATTTATATACCCGGATAAAAGAAACGTCCTTGGCTTACATTACTGTTTACATTTATTATAACATACGGCTGCTTAGCAGGTCGTAACGATTTCAGAAAATCAAGGGACGTCTTTGTCTCTTAATTTCAAAACATTACCAACTGCTGAAGCACTAGTTTGTGTTATTTGATTTGAGTATAGGAATAACCCCCTATAGCAAGTAAGTTTTTTTTTCTGAGTTCTTCCCGTAGTTAATATTATGACTGCTAAATGTTTACATATTAATTCAGGTGAACAATTGTGGTTTTACAGCTGATCATACACTCCAAGTACACTCTGTACGAGAGACTTTGATTCATTTAAATCTTATGGATATTAATATAAAAATCAGAAGTGCAAACAAAAACATAGAAAAAGCTAAATATTTCAATGTGTAACATTTCATTTTCTATTATTCTTTATAAATTCTCTCCAATATATAAATTTAGGACACGATCTATTTTCCTAGTATTTATTTCATTTAAGGACACTTTTTAAAACTTTATTGCGTCTTAAAAATAATCCTTGCTTCAGGAGGGTTCTGTTAGGATCTTAAAATAGTAGGTCCTATTTCTATATGAAATCAAATTATTATTATACTAATAGAGGGCACAAAACTTCAACATTATTGTGATATATTTAATGGCATATTTAGAGTATTGATAGTAAAAACTGAAGATCAAGAATATTCCATTGCCAAAATTCTATCAGAAGTGACACAAATGTACGTGTCTTTTGCAACACATTAACTCTTTAAGGGAGATTGACATCCTCCAATCAATTTTATTTTCCAAAGCACGTAAATTTCCAATGTTGTATCAAGATATTGTTAAGGTTCTTTTAGGTATATAATTTACACTCTATTTAAAGTTTACTAGATTTGATTAATTTCCCGATTTTGTCCATTTGAGTGAGACATATATCGAGAAAGTGGCCATACAGAGTTCGTGTGCTTAATCCAAAAGGCACTTGAAATTATTATCATGATTTGTTTTATGTTTGATTATCTTCAGAATTCACATAGATTCAATTCATTAGAAGGGATGATTTTGAACATTGAATTGTCATTTCATTATGATTACTGTTTGTCTTAGAATGGATAATTTTGAACATTGAAATGTCACTTCATTATGATTACTATTTGTCTTAGAATGGATTATTTTTAACATCGAATATTGCTACTTCATCATCAGTATCTAGTTTTAATTTCAACAAGATTAATAATTACATTTTATATCTTATATGCAGCTCTAATCGTTCGTCGTTCAAGACTATATAACGTTACTAAATCAAGCATATTATATATATTTAAATGGTTATTTGTATTTCAGTTCCTACATGTGTACCCTATATATAAAATATAACTCTGAAATTAAATCCTCAATCTTTTTTCAGTCAAATACGGAAGGGAATATATGTCTCCGGAAGAAAAAAATAACTTGATCAAGTAGTGATGTAACAATAAGACATTTAAGACCAATTGAAACGAGAACGATATACAGACCAATGAATACTTGACAACAAAAATATACGCCGGAACCCCCACAAATCACATTTTCTGGAATACTTAATATAGACTGTTTCTACTAATAAAAGATAATACTTAAATAGTGTTTTTATAAAATTAAAATGGGATCACGTGGCAAGTGTCGACTAACGTCAGAATCTTCACAAGTATCAATGTGTCAAAATTGTGAGAACCCATATTGTGAAGTTACAGACCTAGTGCCAGATTTAGGACCAAGAAGAATGACAAAACAGAGTATTTCAGAAAGTTTGTTGGTTCCGTCTCAATACCACGAGTTTCAAAAACAATATTCCGAAATTGTGCTTTCATATCATAAACTAAAGATAAGTTTCACTGTTATGCTGATCTTGAATGCAATATTACTGGTGGTTGTTATCACGTGTATGGTGTTCATCATCCCTCACATATCACCAAACAAGGTATCTAACTCAAATGGAAATGATAAACCAGACAAGCCAACAAACCTTCCAAGAACTGGTGAGTTAGTAACATCTTCAGTGACTCCTCCAATAAAGGATTCAAGCGTTATTGCTTGTCAATATATTAAAAACAGTCTTGGTCGAGTCTACATCAATGGTCAAAAGGTGGATGAAATTAATGGAAAGATGTGTGCTGTCGAGGATTTACTAGATTCTTTGAAGAAGGTAACGCAAGCTTGTGAATACTAAGTTTTTTTTTTTATTTTTTAAAATTAAAGCGAAAAGTTAACATGATTAGATAAGTGTGGGTCGTAAAACAAAAAATAGTGATGCGATAAAAAATTTTTTTTTTTTTTTACGAAATATAGTTTCATATGGTACGGTCTGTTAGATACGAGTAAATGACACAAAATAATATTATCATACTTATGTATAGTTGTTTACTTTCTTTTTCTTTTTCAGTACATAGAGTCTTGGGTAGATAAAAAAAGAATCAAAGGTACAATATCTTCTATTTTATCGATTGTTTTTAATATATGATTTATTTAATCAATTCTTTTTTTTTTTAATTTGCATTCTACTAAATATTCGTGATAATGAAACGGTCTAATGGTTGATACATTCAGCTTTGGAAACGTTAAATTTTCGAATTGTACAAACAATATTGTACCAGACGTAAGATATTGAAAGAAGACGAAATAATCAGGTTTTTTTTTCTTTGATTACAGCTGCTGTTCATTTTACATCAGATACCACAGATTTAACAAGATGCAAAAGAGATTCAAGTAAGTGATAACACAAGTACTTTAGAACAACTGACCTAGTTTGCTAATCTTTTTGAAAATTATCTTTGCATCTGGTGGAATGTCTTATTACGTAACTTAGCTCATGTGAAAAAAACCTTGCTTCTATCTATATTATATATAAGTATCAAACCCGAAGGGATATATCTACCACCAGACAAAAATGTCGTCTTATTTTTTCTATCAATACAACGAAATAAAGATATCTGTATCTTTTTTCCTGCTAAAAAAAATACTATAGTTCCTTTTCTTCGTAGTAATATATGTAATGTACACATTGGGTATATTTTCTATTGCAGAATTACTTCGATGTTTGAAAAATTGGCAAGAAAAGTGGGGTACAAGTAAAATAAATGTGAACGAGGAGGGTATAATCGTGCCAAAAACAGGGATATATTTTATATACAACAGAGTGACCATAACAATGAATGTAAAAAATGCCACTGTTATTGGTGACATTGAGCACATCTTACGTCACAGCAATACTGGTAGTAACTTCAAAAATATTGAATCCAGCAAAATTGCATGTGTATCAACAAACGGAGTATTGCATCACGTTAGTTATATAGAAAAAGTTCATCACTTCCTGCAAGGTGATGAAATCATGGTTGCGCTTAAAACACCATCACAAAGCAAGACGTCTATTCAGAGTACCAGCTCGTTTGGAATGTTTCAGCTTTAACAGATTTAATTGAAACTCTTCAGCAATCTAGATACACTGTTAAGTGTAACAGATATCTGATAAAAATGACAACATCCAGGTCATTCGTATATATTTGACATACCAAGGCGTATTAAACCTTCAATGACAAGCCTTGTATCCAACACTAAAGCTGTGTTTGTAATAAAATTACGATATACCGCTCAGTGTATGATAGAAAAGAGACACTACTGAAGCGTTTGACATACCGACTCTTTTTACAATTACTCTAACGTTCAAGTTTTACTGAATGTTCATAACTTATTATATAGGTATTCTTTTGGTGAACATTGTTGCATGATCACGTAGACATTCGAAGCGTACGTTCACTTAACACGAACACCTAGCAATATGCTTCTTGTTGGAGCATTATGATACACAAATCTCATCGAAATAGCTGTACAAATGTAAATATGTATATGAAATAATACAAATGTACAAAAATGTATATATGTAAAGTTTCTGTTAAACTGTAAAATGCACATTGAGTTTACTCATATGAGTCTTATCAACAAAGAAGCATTTGTTTTATGTGCCAGTATAAACGTTATATCTGTGATAATCTTATGATATTGTGTTCAGTTATGCCATATGTAAATTTTTTATATAAAAATGTCCTCATTTAAATCTTTATGGACATTATTTGATAATAATGTAACTATCTATACTTCATTTTGATCTCTCATGTAACTAGTCAATGTGAAACATCGGCAATAGTGACATACGATGTTTGAATTGCGTTTTTTATATATACATTAAGGGACGACCATTTGATTTCGGGAGGGTGAAGAGGAGGGCGGCAGAAGGATTTTGAAAAAAATATCCTGACCTGATAAGAACTGAACAAAATAATCTTGCCCAAGGCAGATCGATAAAGAATACCTTCTGTCAACAAAATATAAGACATAGATGTGTTCAAAAGTCAAAATAAAACAAGCTAAAACAAATATCCTGCCCGACCCCCAAAAATCAAACGGTCGTTGTCTAATATCGTATTGTAATAATGCTTTTACAGTATGAATTCATTTGAATTGTTGCTCAAATGGTTAACCACATATCTGTAACATATCCTGACCAGGGATGAAATTTGTAATATATTTGTTATGTGAAAGAAATAAAATAACAAAGTGATACATTTGTAGTGTTACCATTAAGTTATGATGATAAATCAACCTTACCGATACTCATTTCTCCACCAATGTAATAAAAAAAAGCCATTGTGATTTTATTCATACATTAAAAGATTGTAATTTAAGATGTCATATATTTAAGTAATAAAAGTCTATGAGAAAATATTCTTTACGAAATAACGAAATAAAAAACGATAAAGGAGCAAATGCATGTAAGTTAAACAAGTGGAAATTGCATTTTGTCATCGGCACATTTCTTAACTAATTTTAGTTCAAAATGTGATATCAAGAAAAAGATACCAAAAGGATATTCAAACTCATAAGTCGAAAACAAACTGACAATGCCATGACGAAAAACGACGAAAAGACGAACCCCACCAAAACCGGGGGTGATCTCAGGTGCTACGGAAGTGTAAGCAGATCCTGCTCCACATGTGGTATCCGTCGTGTTGTCATATAATTTCGTAGGTCACATTTCGAGGAAATGAGGACAGGATAGTGGTTACGACAATTAGAATATATCCGTCGTCATCTAAGAAACAGATATTCCATAACGGTCAACCAATTTTGTGATGGCGTCCATAAAATTTGTTAAGGGATGATTTCAATTTCACCACTTGGAACTCTTGGTTTAATAGCTTCTTTTTAAGCAGCAACTTATCATAATATATATACAAAAATATTTTGAAAAAAGATCTTTACATTTTAAACAGTATGATAATAAGGTGACGTGGTATGGTTGGTAATGAGTCAACAATCCAGCAGAGACCAAAAGACAAGGATGTAAACAAACTACAGGTCACCGTACTATCTTCAATAAAGAGAAAAACCCAGCTAGTTTATAAAGCCCCGGCACAACAAAATGTGAAACAATTCTAAAGAGAAAACAACGGCCTGATTTAAGCCTGTAACCATAAAATCGAAAACGACAATCAATCACCACAGTCTACTGGTTTTAAAAAGGCTCAAACGGAATTTGATAGGGTTGTAGATCTTTATGAGCAGTCAACCATCACCCTAACTTGTGACAATGGCAAAACTGTCAAACATTAGAACAAACTGTAAACATCCTTTTTTTTAGAGCTGAAGATACCGAGGGAACAATAAAAAAAACCAAAAAGTCTTAAGCTTTAAGCAACATTTTTTAAAAGCGGCGCATGCTGATATACGCCACTTAATGGACAATTGTTTAGCTTAGTGAGATTTTCAATTAATTGCTACCTCAAAGCTCCCAATGATAATTATCCACAACACCCAAGCTATATGTACTTGACATGAAACGACCAGAAGCTCTAACAGTATAAATAGGCGTTTGATAGGAAACTGCTACGGGAAAATACCATTGTAACACTTTTCATCACTAGAGTTAATGTAAAGGTCATTGTAATCTACATAAAAAGAAAATTTTGTTAGGGTTTATTTTGTTCGTAGGAAAGACAGCAACTTGAATTCAACCAACATCGAGACTGATATTCCTTGTTTGGGGGTAAAAAGACGAGAGTTTGTAATCATGTACCTCTCCGTTTTTCTTATCATCGATTAGGCTCACAGACTATATCACAAAGAAAGAAAAAAGGTAAAATAACCAAAATTTGGTGGAGATCAATTGTAAAGAGTCCATGTCGGTCTGAAAGAATATTTTCAAAAGTATACAACTTATAACCTGTAATTGGAAAAACAAACCCCCTATTAATGCCACAATAGTTTTTTGATATTTCATTTAAGGGACAGGGAATTATCCAAATTATCAGGAAAAATCAAAAGTGTTGTATTTACATAAATTACAGGTGTTGCGCTCATAAACAAATGTATTTATCAAAGTAACCCTCTTTAAATCCGTAAAACTAAAATAGTATTATCTAAACGATATAGACGAGTTCTACACATGATACATGCTACTTGCTTCTTTAAAGGCAAGGCAAGCTTGAAATGGAGAACGAAAATACCTGTTTTGTTGCATCCTTGTCTTGGTTTGCCAACACTTGCCTGACCCGCTGATTAATTGACATGTCTTTAGTCTAGTTTAATGATATACAATACATTTCATTAGTCATTTATGGTGTTAGACAAGATATTAAGTAGTCATCATGATAATCGTATGTCTTTCAAGATAGATTTCAATCTACTGATCTCCTGGCAACTCTTTTACGTTTACATGCCCGTACCATTGTACTCGATATCGAATATCTTTTTATCTTGATAGAGTATACTATATTAGTATTATTAGTCATATATGACCCTGAAAAAGTTTTAAATAAACCTAAGTATAAACTCAATTAAACCGGGTCTTTAATTATTCAGATCTCGACACTTACTTGTTGACATTTAGTTTTAGAATTTCCATACAATACATTTCACTAAACATCAACACTGATTATACTCTTAAGACTATTGCTCTTGTGAACAATTCAATGTGACATGCGTTTGTTCACTACAGTGAACTTCTTATTCTTATACACTACTAGTATTTTGCCAATTATATTTCTTTTTGGTATTTGTCTAATGGGTTCTAGTCTCATTGACATATCTGAAATCTGCTTTTATTAATTCCTATCATATTGTTTATAATAGTGAGGTTATTCATGCAATAAAAGTGCTGACATAACCTCTACAACCTCTATCAATGAAAACATTAGGTAAATAATTTTTAATTTTTTTTAAATCAAAAACAAATCCGACGTCATAATGTTTGACCTGAAGTTGAAAAGTTTGACCCAAACCTATCAAGTCCAATTCTCTTAAGCTGGTATATCAAATAATACCCATTATTTCAATTGAAAACAAAACAGACAAATATATTCCCCTCAATTGATTAACAGTCGATTTTCATCACATTGTATGAAATATGAGCACCACAACACAATAGGAAGCTTGTTTTAGATTGATCACTGCGCTCCATCGATACAGAACTTTTTTCTTAATGTGACTCGAAGCTCATATCCTTTACAGCATCGAGTTTACAGAAAACCTGGTAGTCGATACATACATGTACATGTTTGATATATTTCATTCAGTGTTCGAATTCTACCGCTTTGACGTTTACTAAACTTTTCTTATGCAGGCGTCACACTGTCCCAAAATTGACACCAGATGGACACACGGAAAAGGAAATTTGAATTCGGGTATGATCGTAAAAACATCGAGCCATTTGTGAGGGCATATTAAGCCATCGTGTGACCGCCGTTTGAGTGTTCAGTCTCTAGCAGCAACTTTGTAAGCGGTGGCAAAATCTTTGGCATGCCAAAAAATTTCCATAAGACCTTGCGAAGGTTCATTTTCGTGTTGAATTCGTATGTCCATTTTGCTTCTTGTCAAATCGTGACATCTTCGTCTTTACTTCGTGTGATCATCGGTGACATCGGGTATTTCCGCTAGAAGGAAGACAATACGAAGGAAACGATTGTTCTAGGAAGCCCAAACGACTACGTGAAGACCTCGCAGTGCCGTCGTGTAGCCATCGTATTATACATTGAGATGAGACCACGGTGTCGATGGAGACAGCCAAATTTGAGTAGTTCAAGCGTTTCACATGTGCCATGGTAACATGGACATATGAAATGCCAGCCTCAGAGCATCTTCCACAGTCCTTAGTAACTCTACATAACAGAGGCGTGTGTAACTCCCAAAGCTTCAATCTTTATTATTCCGAATTCAGTTCCTTCAGAATGGCATACTTTAATGATGAGACCATCAGGAAAAAGGATGCAGCATATCTTTATCATATCTTGTTATTTGCCTTTCTTATATTTGACAATGTCCTATTTTGATCTGAGCGTCACTGATGAGTCTTATATAGATGAAACGCGCGTCTGGCGTATTAAGTTATAATCCTGGTACCTTTGATAACTATCCTCATCTTGTTTTGCTTTTTATATTCCAGAGCTTGGACAAACTGAGGCGAAGGAGGTCTATGTGGGTCGAAAAATAGCTGTCTGACAAAAGAAGAGAACGCGTTGGCCAGTAAAGCACTCTACTAAAAGAGCTGAAGACAGAAAATGATATTGCCTTCTATAACTACACATGACTTCCCAGAGGTGTCTACTATGAGGTCCTGCGAAGGGCATAAGGCAGAATAAAGAAGAAGGACACGTGGTACAGACAGTCTCTCCCTCCTCGTCGCAAGCTGTCCATCACTCTACGACACCTAGCCTGCGTTGACAATGTTACAAGCCCATCCTTCAACTTCAGAATTGCTCCAAACACCATCTCCCTTATCATCAATGATGTCTGCGATGCCATCAATGCCTAGTTTGCTGTTGAGATGATCTAGTGTCCTACTACAATAATACAACTAAGGAGTACACCGCCATTGCTGAGAAGTTTGAGAAGAAATGGAAATTTCCACACTGCTGCGGTGCTCTGGATGGAAAGCATGTTTCGGTCACCTGTCCTTAGAATAATGGCCCTGTGTACAGAAACTACAAGGGCTTCTTCTACATTGTTCTCATGGCCCTTGTCGACGTAGACTACAAGTTTCTCTGGATTGATGTCCGCTGTGATTGTTCCAGGAACGATGCCAGTATCTACAATGGGTAAGAACTGAAGAAACATATTCAATCTCCCTGAAAAGAAGTATCTATCTGGTGATAACGTTCCCATACTACACAGTAGGGGAGAATGCTTTTGGGACCAACAAGCGCCCGATGAACCCGTTTTCCATCAGAATAAATGGAACACCATGAGAAAATATTGAACTATAGACTCTCCAGAGCAAGGCGTGTATTGGATTATTCCTTTGGTATTCTGGAACACAAGTTCCGAGTTTTGCTGAGGAACATGAACCATAGGTCAAAGACATACAAATCTTCAATTTCATCAGACAGATCAGACAGATATATCTATCCACCGACAAAAACCTGATGGACTTTGAGGACCAGAACCAGAATGTCATCCCAGGGGCATGTGGATATTGCAAAGTACTTCTGGATGTTTTCCACGAGAGGGCAAGGAACACTGGAACACAGGATGGGAGGCAAATTAGAATATTATATTAGGGTTGTT